CATTAACCCACACTCAGGAAGAAAAACACTTAAAGGGAAAGAAGTTTGCTATTTTCCATGACATTTTAGTCCTCTGGATAATTAATCATTGTAAAGATATGTGGATCGAGGACAGATTGTCTTCCATTAGGGGAGAAAATTATATGAGGCCCACTTTTTTAATACAGAGAGGAAAAACTCACCAGAACAATACAAAAAAAATTATTCCTTTTCCAATTTTTTAGGACCACACAAAATAACAAGATTTTATTATCTTAAAATTGTAAGATTTTATCATAAGACAGAGTAGCCGACACCTGGTGTGTCAGGATAATCTCAGGATAAAGGATGCTAGGAATATGATTTTGGTGGAGGTATTTTGAACAACTAAAATATTCACCATGCCTGGTGTCTCTAAGGCATATGCACAACACACCAGGAGAAATGCTTTGTCAAGAAGACAGCAAAAGAGAAAAAGACAAACAACCATCAAGACAAACATTCATGTTCATTACCTGAAGCAATACATCTTACCATTCTTCAGTCTAACTTTCTGGATATCTAATTCTTCCATCTCCTCCTTTCTCACTGTCATGATCTAAGTCAGAGGAATGGGCTTATTTCTGCCTAAATTATGGCAGGCTAATTCTGCCAAGCCAGATTTGTCAGTGCAAAAGTGGAAAGGCACATGGAGAGAATTTGAGTGGCAGTTTACCGAACAGTGAAACAGTCTGGGAGTTGGATGCTATGAAGTAAATGCTATTTTTTTGTATGTTTTGAGGGCACAGAGGAACACTGTGGATCCCAATCTACCTCTCAGTGCATGATTTGGCACTAAAGCATGTTTTCAATATTAAAATGTATTAAGACTTTTTGCCCCATTCCTTATGAGTACACTCCTAAGGGTACCTACTAGAGTCTTTGCCAATGACTTAGACCTGGGTTTATGACTTGGCAGATGGTCCTTTTTTTGTTTTTGTTTTTTGGCTTTTTGGGTCACCCCCAGTGATGCACAGGGGTTATGCCCGGCTTTGCACTCAGGAATTACTCCTAATGGTGCTCAGGGAACCATATGGGATGCTGGGAATCGAACCTGGGTCGGCCGCGTGCAAGGCAAACGCTCTACCCGCTGTGCTATTGCTCCAGCCCCAGTAGACAGTCTCTTAACAGGCCCAAAGCAGGTTTTCAAAAAGAAGCTGCAAAAGGTTCCTTGGTTAGAGGTGCTGAGGAGATCTGCAGGGTGGATGCTTTGCCTCCACTGAAGGCACACTGGGCTGTGGGCCATGGTGGGTCGGGGGAACAACCTGCCTCTCCTGTTCATCTTTGTGTGGGGTGCGTGATGCTGAAGCCCCCAAGTCTCTCCCTCTTTGAATCCACCTGTACTATTTTTAAGCCTTGAGATAAGTGAGCCGCTAAGTGGAGGCCCAGCCAGTGCCTGCGTATCTCTGTGGGCTGCTGAGGCCTCAGCAGGAGCTTGAAGGCCAGGCTCTGGGGTCTGCACTGGCTGAATGTGGGCTCCTCACTGCCACTCTGCTGACATCTGCTGACATCGGTGCAGTCGGCCCTCAATAGGCACCTCTGAGGTGCCAGACCCCTAACTACACAGATACCAAAGTGAAAAGTACCAGACAGGGTATAATGAGCCAGAAAGTGTGAGGAGACAGAGAAACACTCAGGGTCTTGCACCAATGGAGACTGTAGACCTTTGAGTGGGAAACAGGGGACTGAATCACAGCCCCCCATGTAACCCAGTGCCAGAATTCCAGAGAATCCAGACAGGTGTAAAAGAAGTAAATAAAGGTGATCAGGGTACAGTTGTGAGGCTACTCTCCAAAGGTCAGGCTGGACAAAATCCGCCTCTGGCAGAGAGCAGGGCACCACCATTATCTACTCTGCAGATGGACCACCCAGAAAATCTGGGAGTAATTAGGAGGGAGAAAAGCAAATGCCGCCCACCCCCAGCCAAAATGATAGGAGGTGTGGCGTCTCCAAATTATCTTCTTCGGGAACTCAGTAAAAGCCGGGCAGGACACAGGGGCTAGGAAGAGGGAAGGGGGGCAGCAGAACCAGTGCGGTTATACATACACTCTCTCACACAATCCATCAGGTAGACCACATTGTGATAGACACAAAGTGATGAGAAAGACTATTTTAAAATGTAGCAGGCAGAAACACACACACACAGACACACACAGACATGCACAGACACACACGCACACACTTAACTGAACATTTAAAAGGGAGTTTGGAGTGTTATTTTGTTTTTTGTTTTTTTGTTTACACTTGGTGGTGCTCAGGGATCACTTCTGGCAGTGCTTGGGGGACCATATACAGTGCCAGGGATTGAACCAGAGATATGCTTTCTGCAAGATAAGCATCGTAACCTCTGTACTATCTCTCTGGTCTGTAAAAGTCAACTTTGAGTAGGATAAGTGAGTGTTTTCTTTTGTGGTTGTTGTTGATTTTTTTTTTTTTTGCCACATCTGGTGATGCTCAGGGTTTACTTCTGGTTCTGTACCCAGGAATTACTCCTGGTGGTGCTTAGGGGACCATATGAGATGCTGGGAATCAAGCCCTGGTTGACCGTGTGCAAGGCAGGCAAGCACCCTGCCATCTGTACCAACTCCCTAGAATAAGTAAGATTTTCAAATGATATTATTTTCTGCTTATTTGTTTTATTTTGTGGTTACAACGGTGATGCTCAGGGCTTACTCCTGGCTGTGCTTAGGGATCACTCTTGTTGGTGCCTGTGATACCATATGGGATGCCGGGGATCGAATCTGGGTTGGCAGGGTGCAAGACAAGCACCTTATCCACAGTACTATCTCTCTTGCTTTTGAAATTCTTATTTTTTTTTCTTTAATTGAAATTCCAGGACATACGCACAGTTACAAAGCTGTTCATGATTGGGTTTCAGTCATGCAATGTTCCAATACTCTTTTCCCCACCAGTGTACATTTCCCACCACCAATGTTCCCAGTTTCACTTCTGCTACCCCCCACCCCAAGCAAAGAGGGGTTCACAGTTGCTTCTAAGACAGCCCATAGCTCCAGGTGACACACAACATGCTGAAAACTGGGAGTGACAGCATTCCTGCCAAGGGTCAGGTCAAAGGCTGTGGGGTCCCATATTGTTTTGGAAACTCCAAATTTCTCTGCCCCACATGATCATCATTCTGTCTTCTATACTGAAACAGGGAGTCTCTTTCTACTCCAAAGGCCAGGCAGTGAGTCAAAAGCTAAAACAGAAGGTAAATGTGGCCTCCAGATCTGACAGAAAGAGTGGGGTTTCTCCCTGAACACTGTTCCAAGCCTTCACACATCTGTTCCCCTGTAGAAAATGCGTCCCCATCACTCCTGTCTCCAAATCCTGCACATCCTCCAAGTCCTCTTTTCCACCCATTTTCCAATGTGTGCCAAGTCTTGATTTCTCAAGCTAGGTAGAAGGGCTCTCTTCAATATGTCTTCTCTGCCACTGGGCTAGGCCTGTTTGCAGGACCCCTCAATTCCAGGGACCCACAACCCCATTAGAGCAAGCCTGGTCAGGTGTGTATGTTTGTGTGTGGTTAAGGCACAGTCTGTCAACATTTTCCTCTTTAAACTCTGAAAGGAGTTTTAGGACTTTTGCTTTGAAATGTTCACTTAGAAATGAGGGATGCTCTTTCAACAATACTGTTTACTTGCACCTTCTTGAAGTATAATGAATGTCTACAAGTTGTTTTTAACTATGATGAAACTTCCTGTGTTTATTAAGCTTAACAGCTATTAAGATTGGTGTGCAGTCTGTACTCTGAAACTTTCAGAGACTTCCCTTTGTTGCGGCTTCCCTCTATTTTTAGGATCCAAGAATATGATTTATTTATTTATTTTTGAGGTCTAAAACATGTTGAGAATCTTACAGGTGCCAAATATCTGATGGATCGAATAGCCCCATCTCAGGCCTTTATCATGTGCTCCCCTGTATAATGATTACACACAGATCTGTCATAGATCTTGATCTGGCCTGAAATCATCATTTTAAACTTATCAAAGGCCTGTTTTTTTTCTTGTCAATGTTTTATGATGACCAACACTTTGGCCATTCAATGAATTCTAACAGATTCACTTATTGAAAAATAAGAAATAAAAAGCCAAAACTTCAGCAATACACTCTGCAACCCTTTTCCTATAATACAAGTTATTTCAAATGATATTTCCAGTTGTGTAGGAATGAGTTTTCCTTAAAAATAAAGCAAGATCTCCACTGCTTTGAGAGATGGCACAAACAAACAATATAAGTAAAACACACATAGCATTTAATTTCTAGAAGTGTTGAACCTTCTGACTTTCATTTGAAATGATTTCCATTTAATTAGCAGTTAGCTAGTGATTTCCTTCTAAGCACTTTTAGCAGAGGTGAGCACCTAATTTTCAGACTTTCGGTGGAGTTATTGTCATCTGATCATCCTGCAGCATTCTTTTTCCCGTTTATCTTCTGCTAAATTTTGACCAAATGAGGTCTGATAACATTCTAACATGTGATTAACTCCCACACAACCATCTGGGGAGGAGGCGTAAGCTCCGTGGGAAGTAAGTGCATGCTACACAATTGTTTTCATGGCCTAGAGGGTTAGCTTCTGTGGAACTTTCTCAGTGCCAGAAGAAAGTAGTAATTCATTAAACAAACTAATCCCTGTGAGCTCCCCCCCCCCCCCCAAACACACCTCCAGAAGTGAGTAAAGAGGGCTTGGACAAGATTTCCATGAATAGTTTAGGACATTAATTGTTCAACATGTCAACTTACTTTGTAGATACTTCTTCACCCATAGAGCAATTGGGGTACCCATGAACTAGCTTTTAAACTATCTGGCAACACTGCTAAACCGGAACTTTTAAGATCTCGCTGTGAGTTTACCCAAAATGCTAAAAGCAACGAGCAGACCATATTCTTGCTGGAAAACTAAAAAGAACAAACGGAAGCCTGGGAGGAAACAGGGGAAGGTCTGAGAGCATGAGCAGGGAACGCTTCCTGAAGACACTCACCTCTTTCCATTGCTGCCCCGGAGCATCGCCTTCCCCAGCACTCTCGATTTGGTTTCCAGCTCCTGCACCTCTTCCAGTAGCGTTTTCCTGCAGGTATGCTTGGCTCTGTGTTACGAAGACAAGGCAAAGAAAGGAGGGCATAGGGTTAGCCTGGGCAGAGAGATCCGTCATGCCCCTCTAGGGTTCTATTCACCAAGATTGAGCTAGGGGTCTGGCCCCCAGGGGACAGTCTCAGGACAATTGTGTGTGTGGCAGTGGCACTGCTGTCATACTCTGGGGGGGAGGGGGGGAGGGAAGAACATGCACAGGGCATCAGAAGCTACCACATCTACTGTGGTTTGGATTGAAATATGCATGAAACAATCACTGTATTGTATTCAGAGCAGTATTAGGAATCATAGTACTTCCACAAAGATTTTTCAAAAGGGTGAAGAGGAAGAGGAGGAGAAGAGGAGGAGGAGGAGGAGGAGGAGGAGGAGGAAGGGGAAGGGAAAGGAGAAGAGGAGGGAGAGGAGGAAAAGGAAGAGGAAGAGGAAGAAGAAGAAGAAGGGGAATGGAAGGAAGAGGAGGAGGAGGAAGAGGAGGAGGAGGAAGAGAAGAAGGAGGAAGAGGAGGAGGAAGAAGAGGAGGAGTAGGAAAAAGAAAGGAAGGAGGCAGGGGGAGGACAAAGAACGGTGACAATGGTGGGGGAGTAGGAGGAAGTGGAGGAGGTGGAGAGGAACAACAGTAACAGCCCTTGTTACTGTCAGTCACTGGATTTGGCCCAGAAGGATCCAGTCACTCAGATCAAAGATGGGGCCTGCAGATATTTATGGGCCTGTCTCTAAGCTTTTCAATGTGGAACCTGAAGAGGCTTTAAATCATCACCAGAGAGAACACCGGCTGGTTCTTTGCCCCTCCTGTGATCAGGAGCCCAGTGTCAGCTGACTCCCTCCCCTCCCCCACCTTTTTCTTTCTTAAAGTAGAAAAACAGCCCTGGCTATAGCAGAAGTGGGATTTAGGGGGAGGGGAGGGTTCCTAGGCAATGCTCTGGGAATCCCCCCTTGGTTGCTGCTAGCAATACTTAGTTTAGTGCTCAGGTCTCAGCATGTGGAAGTTTGGACCGTGTGGTGATGGAAAACATGATGTCACACCTGGTAGCACTTGGTGCAAGGACATGTGGTGCTGAGGTTTGAACTCAGGTCCTGGGACATACAGAGCTTGCAATCTCTGGCCATTGGGCTGTCTCCCTGATCCCAGAAATAGGTTGGTTTTGTCTCTTTGTTTGGGCACCACACCTGGTGGTGCTCAGGGCTTACACCTGGCTCTGAGCTCAGGGATCTCTTGGGTTGAGGCTCGGGGAACCATATGTAGTGCTGGGGACTGAACCTGACTGCACAGGTTGGCTTTGCCCTATACTATTTCTCCAGCCAAGAAATGAGATATTTTTTTTTGCTCACTTTCATGCTCTTCATGTCAAACACTTGACCTGAAATTTGGGGTCAACACACATTTCCAGTACTCCCATCCTTCCTTCACAGAGACAAGTTAGGGCCCTCCAGTGCTATATATCATGGTGTGGAGCGACTGCAGAGAAAACTGGAAGCAAGCTGGCCTTCTCTGAAGAGTTTAAGAGATCAGCCCAGAAGTTTCTCACCAGATGTAGTTACACGTCCCTTTGTGCAATGAAACCAAAAGCAGTGCCTTACAATATTCAAATCATTAGCTGATCTCAAGTTCCTCCTAATCTTCAGACTAAAGGCAGAGTTGCTGGTTGAAAAACAACCTAGTCTATGAAGTAAAGGGAATTCACCAGTTTAAGGTAAAGGTTGAGGAAAAAAGGGATTCATTACTTGGCAATACAAGGCAAGTCTCCTTATTAGGACAAGCTCTGCATTCACTTGATCTCTAGAGAAATACATGGGAGGATTCTACTGTAGAATCAAAGAGAGAAGAACAAAAATCGAGCATCTGGGTAAGGAAGTCAAAATCAATGACAGGGGCATTCTGAAGACTAAGCTATTTCAGTGGAATCAGAAATTCCCGCCTCACTTCCACCTTCTAGAAAGAAAGTCTGTTAAGATAATATTACCCCATCATCCCTGAACACTTGGAGGTAATCAGTAATGGACTATTAGGACTGAGATACTGTGTGTGAGCCCACCAGTCCTTCCCCTCAAAGTAAACAAGGGAAGTGAACCCCAAAGCTCTAACACATAATACCTTCAACACATCAAAAGTGTCCTGCCACTCTGTGGAGATAACATACTTAGTTCAAAGCAGAGACGATGGAATTTTAATTGAAACAGCAAATAAGGAAATGTTTAACATTTTGCTGAAGAGAGTAAGAGGACGCTGAAATTTACACTGTTCAATGATATTGACTTACTGTGCCTCAAACTTTATGTTTCAGTTCATGGGTTTATGGGGCTATATTGATAACGTGCCAACTGTGTGCCAAGTTTAATCTTTATCAGATTCACTCGAAGGACAGAGCCCCCCATCCACCCCATGTCCTGCTAGTCTTGAAGGATGAATGTGCGCTCACATGTTTACAAATTGTTTCCATCCCACCATCACCCACCCTGCCTTCGGACTCCCCACTTCCCTATCTGCCCTCCAGAGCGAGTAGAGCTCAGTAACCTCTGGACAACCTTAGGGGGTACTTCTGGGATGGGCAAAGACAGTGACAGCAAGAAGAAGCTGAGATCAGGAGAATCTTCACCATTTGAAATCTATAAGTTATTCCTTGCCCCAATCACCCATCCCTCTATAAAAAATATGACCCACCACATTGTAGCTCTTAGTTCTTACTTGGTCACAATATTGCCTCTGTGGGAAATGATCAGAGCATATGCATGCTACCTGGCCCTGTGTCTGTGTTGCACGCAGATAAAGTTATGAAAGAATCCAAGAGTTACTAAGCAATTTTATAGTATTGCCTTAGGTGTGCTCTTATGGACTAGTCTGAGAACCTGAGAACTGAGCACTGGAGAACATGGGATGATACACGGGCTACAGCTACTTTTCCTGCAAACAACCCTGGAGTAGAAGGGGTGCTGTCAATTTATAAGTGTTTTCTCACCATCTTTACCTAACAGGGCTTCAATCTGACAAACAATGCTCAAATCTCCCCTGCCAAAGTCCTCTTGTGAACTGATTAAAACCCAAGACTTAAAGGTCTCAAAGGCCCATCTTCAAAAACTAGTTACTGACTAGTAATGTAATGTAAACCTAATGTAATTTAAGCTCTCTGATCCCTCTCCTCTATGGTGTGGGTTTGGTTTGTTTATTATTTTTGTTTGTTAGGTTTGGGGGGGTCATACCTGGCAGACACATTCAGGGGACCATATGTGGCATTAGGGATTTGAACCAGAGTTGCAGAGACATAGTCACAGGCCAAGCAGATGCCTTTCCTCCTATACCATCTCCCCAGACTCTGGTTTGGTTTATTCTGAATCATGACTGGGTTACTGCAGACTTTGAAAGGAAAGAGACTGACTCGGAATCTTGAACTTTTCTTTTTTCTTGTTATTGGGGTCATACCTAGCGGTGCTCAGGGTTTACTTCTAGCTTTTTGCTTAGGGACTATTCCTTCCATGTTTGGAGGACCATGTGGATTTCCGGGGCTCAAACCTGGGTCTGCCACATCCAAGGCAAGCTCCTTTCCCACTATGGTACCAACCCTGGCTCCTGAATCTTGAACTTTTTATATTTTTCTGGTTTCTGACCTCTTTTCCTGGACTCTCTCTTTAGCTGGGAAAGGTAGCAAATTAAAAGGAAATTCACATCCAACAGTGGAGAAAAATGTAGGTATAATGGGCTTCAAAAGCAATTAGTGTGGTTAGAGTGTTCTTTTACTTTCAACTGAGGCCCATTTGTATACAGAAATTTCTTATTACCTTTTCTTTCCATTTTACTGCCTAGCTGGGATTAAAATCAGGAAATGAAGTCATTCTGGAATTGCTGAATGTATTGTGTGATGACTGAGAGTGTGGGAGATACAGGCAGATAAAAGGAGCCGGGTTCGTGCATTCAGTGGCCTTGGGCTTTACATTCTTTTTATAAAGCAACACTAACAAATTTCTCCTTGATGAGTTTAAGTACATGGCAGCTTACCTAAGCGTTCTGTCATACGTAAACATTTTGGAAGAGAACAAGTGAGAGAATACTGAAATAGTTCTGGGAAATTTAAACCTTGTGCTTCTAATAAAAATACTCATTAGCCAGGTATTGCATATAATCAATCAATTATTTTAATAAAAGATGTGTTAGTTTGGCCCCTCATGCAAACTCTGGTCAATAGGATGACAGTAGCATTTTATGGGATCCAAATCAGATTCAAGGTAGTCTAACAATGGATCTTTAACCAGAAAGTTGATAGACTCCAGAAGAGTACCAAACTCAGAATCTTTTTTCAGTTCCAGATCATGAAAGGGAGAAAGACTTGGCAAAGAAGGGCAGAAAGATGGAGTGAGTTGCTTTCTTAAATTCTCATAGAAACATGTGAATAGGCAGGTCTGTCTGGTTATGGAATTAAAAAACCACTAAAATTCAGCCCCAAAAGTCCTGCAGATGGGTCTGAGGCAAGCCCTCAACCAGTAACACTATCACAGAATGTGCTCTGTGGTATTTTAATTCTTACTTCATTAAAAACTGTTCTTGGAGTTTGGGTGGATATAGTTCAGCACCAGAGTGCTTGAGTGGTATGTGTGAGACTCTGGGTTCCATACATGGTACCATATGCACCCAAAAGTTAAATAAAAAACAAACCAAGAGGGGCTGGAGAAATAATATAGATTAGGCAATTGCCTTGCATACAGCCTATCTACATTCTATTTTCTGCAGCCCATAGTCCCCTTAGCTCACCTGGATTGATCTCTGAGTACAGAGTTAGGAGTAAGCCCAAGATCACTGGGCGTGGCCCCACAACCAAAATAATAAATAAAATATTACAATAGAACATCAATCTTATTAGCAGTTCAAGCAGTGCATCATTCATTAAATATTTGGCAATTTGAACCAAATGGTGGGTGGCTGTGGATAACTGGAATTAGTATTTTTGCAGGAAGGAGAAAATATAGAACACTAAAGTTAAATTTGAAGAACAAAATTTACAGTTAAAATTTGGGACCTCGTCAGAGGAAAGCAGCTCATATGTGATTTCCCTTCCTGGGAGAAGCTTCTGAACTTGCTTCACTCAACAATGACTATTTCTGGCTGGGAGGAACAATAGGATAAAACATGAACCAGCCAGCCTCTGTGTGGCCCCAAGAGCACATTTCAAGACCCTTTACTCTTTCCATATGCTGGTGGTGGATGTAGTATCATTTGATTTATCCTTGTTAAAATGTAAATGGCATTAATTCAGTGTCAAGGGAAGACAAAATCAAGCCCCTGTTTGAGTGAACAGATAATTTGCCTCCGTGTGTCCAGAAACTTTTGCTTGGAAGGTGTTGGAAAAAACCAAGAAAATAGGCAAGGAAGAAGAGATGTAACTTGAGAACAATTTCTTTGATAATCAACATTTTTTACATTAACCTAAATAACTGAATTTAAAAAATGGATGAATTTATAATCAAAGTAATCTTTGATGTACTATATGCAATCATTATAAATTGAAAAGCAACCTGAATTAGCCAATACATTACATTTACCTAACTTGACAAACTAATTGATTATTCTTTATACTTGATAAACTATTGATTAAAAAATTATTAATTTTGCAGGATTACTTGATTATCCTGCAAAATTGAAGAAAGATTGTACCTTAACTGGGATATGTAGTATAAGAGCAAATTACAAATTCACACTTTATTTGGGGGGTAGGTATTTATTAAAGTAAAAAAAAATCTTTCTTGGCTAGATATGAGCCGGTGGTGACGGGGCAACTGCGGCTTCATGGGATGGGGGGCAGAACCGGGACGTCCTTCTTTCCCTGCCGAGACCACAAGTTGCCCCCCACGAGCAGCTCTCTGGCACGAACATGGACCCTGAGGCACACAAACCAATCTCGGAACTATTCGGCTTTTGGCAGAAATCCCTTCAGACTTAATTAGTAAAATATCAGAAATCCAAAATCATATGGTCTTCATAACCGGCAACAGAAAACAAATTATTTCACAATGCCTTTTCAGCAGTTCTGATTGTTGGGAGGAAATTCCAGATAATAATGGTGCATCTTTTGTCAAAATAATGAATGTAATCAAAGTAGAGAGAGAGTTAAGTGGAAATCATCTGCCTCACAGGCACGGGGAGGGTTGACATGGGGGGTATATTGGGGTTTTTGGTGGTGGAAAATATGCACTGGTGAAGGGATGGGTGTTTGATCATTGTATGACCGAGACTTATACCTGAAAGCTTTGTAACTGTTCTCATAGTGATTCAACAAGTAAATTAAAAAAAATCTTTACTAACTATAATTTTATTCCCAATGACTCTGATTCTGTTATTTACAGTACAGAGTTTTAACAGATAAAATAGAAGCTATGCCCAATCAAGACATTTTAGAAATTAGAATTATTTAATTTTGACAAATAGTTGCAAAAGTTAGTGAACAAAAAGAAATATCACCAATGAAAATTCTGTCTTCTTCTCTCTGAATTAGGTACTATCTACTGTCAAGATATTGCCAAAATGAAGATTTCCTCTCCCCACCCCCCAAAAGCCTTAACTGTCAGGCAAGAACAAATTTCACAGTGTAAGAAGAAGGGAAAGATAAAAATGAAATCTGATATATTTTCCTGGAAGGTTTGGATTAAAACCTCAGTTCTCTCCCTCAGGGTCCCCAGATAATTATGTTTTCCTCAAAGTAATGCCAATCCAGAAATCTCAATTTTCAGAGAAGTTGTCAACCACTGACAAGAGGCATCAGTCTTTTTCCACAAACAAACAAAAACATTATCTTATTTGTAGTGTTCTATCTTTTGTCTATGAATGAAATTGATACATTATCTTGGAACTCAGTTGCTTATTTTACAATGCTTACTTAAAATGTTTTTCAGATACTTATATCTGAATAAGAAGAAATTTGAAAACAAGAAATTTGGCACATATCAACAAAAATGAACTATGAATCACTTCCCATTCAAACTCATGTTAATGATTCCACATTTGTGATTGATATTCCCATAGAACTAAAAACTGAAGATCTAGAATCATTATATTTGAGTGATTATTTCAGTGAGGTACTTGGAAAAATGAAGAACATTCTTGTAATGTGAAATTATTCACAGCCATACAACCATTTCCTTTAAATGTGGGATTTAATGCCAGGCTACCTTTGTGATTACTGAGCATTAATGCCTAAGTGGAAGGAGAAATGGATTTTGAGTAACCTGGTGGGATGGGTCTGCACTTAGAACTTCTTTCTCAAGAATAGGCAACATCCCTATTGACCTTCACTGTTTTTCTTGGAGGCACTTTTTTTCTCACACCAAAGAGGTTAATAGCACAGGTTAATATCAAACCCACTGTCCTTTACAACCTATGCTGGTAGGTGGCAGGAGTATTTCTTTTTTAATTTTTGGCCAAACCTCCCATACGTATAACTGTGTGCATGAGGGAGAATGTGCAGGACAAGTGAAGGCATAGCTGGGTAAGACTTTTAGGGCTACGTAATTTTCCACTTACGCTCTCCAGGCGACATCTTCGATCAGACATGCAGTAGGAACCAAAAATAACCCCAACCAAAAGTATGGGGAGCTCAGGACCATGGTTGCCTGCAAGACATATAAATGATACATGTATTAGAGATTTTTCTTTGGAAACCAGTGAGATATAGTATAACCACTATAAAACATTCCATAACACAAAAGCAACAGAAAGCGTTGCATTCAGGGGTGGTTCAGGAAGCACATCCAGGATGCTGAAGGGGTGACATCCTCTCCACAATCATTAGCTCTTAAACCTCCTTTCAGCCTTGCATATAAGGATGCTGTCCTTTCTAGGGAAGTTCTGGCATTACCAAACTATAAAGTTTGGAACCACATGATTTCACTGGACTTCTCTCATTCACTTTATTTAGCCTCAGCTCACGTTCTTTTGATGCTTATTCATAAAACCACAAGAATCTCTCTTAATCTCAGAAGAGGAACAGATTCCAGAGGAAAACATTATAGTACATGTCTTGAAGGGAGTCAAAATCAGGTAGTATCATGTTGCTACATGAATGGCCACTTCTAGGTATGCAGTTCCTTAGAAAGGGGATTTTTTCAGTGTACACATAGTTTGGTTGCTTTTTGGCTACACTTAGGGGTGCTCAGGGCTTACTCCTGGCTCTGCTCTCAATGTTGTGCCAGAGATCACACCTGTGTTAGCTGCATGCAAGACAAGTGCTCTATCTGCTGTACTATTGCTCCACCCCGCAGTGTAAACATATTTGTAGCTTAGATCTACTTAGAAAGGTCTCCTTTCTCCACTGTGTGCAATTACTGTATAATCAAACATGAAAATGGATGGAGGTTTATTCTTTAATTTCTCAATAAAGCTAAATGACTTCACCAATAAAAATACATCATGGAGTACAATCTGTATTATGCAAGGAATCTTACATAGCACAATCCTATTTGATGGTATTTCAAAGGATAACTAGGACAGTGGGGAAAGGGGGAAACTTCTCAATGAATAGAGTGTGGGCTCTGCCAAAGAAGGTGGTCAGGATTTTAACAGAGAGAGAGAGAGAGAGAGAGAGAGAGAGAGAGAGAGAGAGAGAGAAGAGAAGAGAAGGCAATACTAGATGAAAGAGTGAAAGCTGGAGAGAGCAGTGAGTAGCTCAGCCTTTGAAGAGACTTCCTTATTCCAAAGGGTCTAAATGAAAAAAAAAACACGAAGCTTTGGGACCAAGTTAGATGTCAGTGAGAAGTTGAAAAGATAACTTAGGGCAAAAACCACAATGCTTGTCTGGAAAGATGGGCCACTTGGAAAAGTTTCACCAAAGTTAAGATTTGACTAAACATTTTCCATTTTCCAAATTTCACCAAAGTTAAGAATTGACTAAACATTTTCCATTTTCCATTCATTGTATTTTCCCTCCTAAAATCTTAGCCATTTGACAGTCCTTGAAGATAGATGCTTTCCTCTAAGTCATTACAAAGAAGAATAAGAAGAGCACAGGGGCTGGGACACAACAAACCTCAGGACCCTGATAGGGACCTGGGAAACCTGAATCGACGGGAGGGGGCAGGGCAGCCCTCTTGATACTGCACAGTAACCACACCACCTTGTTAGTTCATCAACCCCCATCTGAGCATGGCTTGCCTCTCAGAGCCTGTCCTGCAGTTTCTCCCTCTGCACCCCATGTGGCCACAGTTGGTCTCTCTAGCCATATCCAAGCCCAGCTGCATCTCTCTTGCTTCCGAGTTCCTTCCCACAACCCTATTTGGGTCATCAGAATTTTAGGACAGTAATACTGGGAAGCACTGAGGCTCAGAGTGCAAGAGTGGAATTCCAATCCTATCAGTGGAGAACTTGATTCTTTTCCCAAAAAGGAGCTGCAAGAATAACTTCAGAAGCATGATAAGCAGAGCATATCTTGCCCCATCAATTACATCTCTCAGAATTCAACCTGGCAGTAGTAAGGAAATGTGTAATGAAAATTAGAACATTCACAAGAATCTCAACTATTAAAGAAATTGAGCTAGATATCCAAAAAGGGGATTTATGAAATGTACTGCAGTCCTTATACACTATATGGACTGTGGTGCAGTAATTAAAGCAACAGCACACATGCTGACATAAAGATATATTGAATTCTATTGCTAATAGAAAAAATATGGGGTTCTATAGGCAACCTCTTACAGGGGTTGTGGCACAGGGAGTGTGGAAAGGAAGCACAATTGGTCCAGCTTTTGTCTTAAACTTAAGAGATGTATCTAGATGCAGTATACCCACAAGTTAATGCATCTTATAGTACTAATGATTACACATGTGCTATAAATCAACCTATAACATAATTTTTATAATCATGTTTTGAGATTTCCTCCTCTTAAAGACAATTCCAGGAGTGGATTGAGAGCCAAGTGGGTTGCCTTACATGATGCTGACCTGAGCTGGATCCCTGACATCCCAGATGGTCCCTTAAACTCTGCCAGAAGTGATTTCTGAGCAAAGAGCCAGGAATAAGCCCTGAACACTGCAGGCAAAAACCAAAGGACAATTTTATTTATTTATTTATTTATTTATTTATTTATTTTTATTGAATCATTGTGAGATGGAAACCACAAAGCTGTTCACAATTGTGTTTCAGTCATACAATGTTCCAACACCCATCTCTCCACCAGTGTACAGGGCTGGAGCGATAGCACAGCGGGTAGGGCGTCCGTCTTACAAGCGGCCAACATGGCCGACCCGAGTTCGATTCCTGCGCCCCTCTCGGAGAGCCCGGCAAGCTACCGAGAGTATTCGATATGCCAGACACAGTAACAACAAAGTCTCCAATGGAGACGTTACTGGGCCCGCTCGAGCAAATCGACGATCAACGGGAGGGCCTTTACTTACTTTTTACTTAATGTCCCCAGTTTCCCAGTTTCCCTCCCATCATCACCCCCAATGCTCCCTCTTCCAGTCTGCTTCTATGACAAGCAACTTTTCTCTCTCTCTCTCTCTTTCTCTCTTTCTCTCTCTCTCTCTCTCTCTCTCTCTCTCTCTCTCTCTCTCTCTCTCTCTCTCTCTCTCTCTCTCTCCTTTTGTTCATTATGGTTTGCAGTACAGGTACCAAAAGGTCATTGTGTTTATTCAGGGTGTTGACCATTCTTATCGGGAGGGTATATCTGGAGAAACTTTTTTTTTTAATTGGGTGGCAGCTTTGGGGTGTGGATATGAGTGGCGGGGCTTTTGGAGGTACAGCAGGTTGGGGAGAGGTAGCCCATCCCGACCCTGAGAAAGCCTGGAGATTTCAGTCACAAAACCTGCATACCCAAATTTTCAGCAGATTAATTATCTTGGTGAGGTCTGTCCCAAGACAATGGAGTCTCGCTAGGGGCATGGTGGTGATTTTGAACTGTGGGAACAAGTAGTTGCTGGGGGCTCTCTTTGGGCCAGCACCAGGCAACCTGTCTCCCTCTGATCTAGCCTTGCATGGAGTCCAACAATAATTGCGGCTTTTGATCTCTTTCGAGATTTATTCATGGATCTCTGAAGTGAGTCAAGTAGAAGCGTTTACATGGTGGTGCCAGAGTTGTTTATGGGGGTGACTGCCAGTGCTTATATAGGAAAGTGGGGGAAGGTAGCCCATCCTGACTTGAGAAAGACTGGAAATTTCAAAACATGCATTCCTGAATTTTCAGCAGATTATATCTCGGTGAGGTTCGTCCCAAGATGATGGCATCTGCCTGGGGGCATGGTGGCGATTTGGATTGTGGGAGCAAGTGGTTGCCAGGAGCTTTGCTTGGGTGGACACCAGGAACCCCCCATCCAGTCTACCCTGGTCTGTTCAGCCTTGCGTGGGTTCAAGGTTAGCTGCGAGTTTTGATCTCTTTCGAGATTTATGGGTCTATGGAGCAAAGCCAATAAATGGGTTGTATGGCTGAGCTGGAGATGGTTTGTGCTCATGGCTCCCAAATACCTAACTCTGGCTGGTTTTTGGAAAACGTTGTCCTGAGTCATTAGAGTTTGGCCAGAGGTAAAGTGGCAATTTGGGGGTGTCAGGAGGGCTGACGGCACCATCAGGTTGCTGATGCCCTCATTCTCCGTGTTCAGGTAGACACACCAGTGGCATTGTGCCCTTTGGGACCCAGTGGCAGCAGCAGCTCACATCCAGGCAAGGACTGGGACCAAAGCAAAGGCTGCTACTGTTCATGGGTAGGCACTCTGAGTAGGCTGTAGCCACCAGTCCAAAAGAACCTTCCCAGGAGGCACATGTCCCCATCCTTGGTCTCCAGATAGTTGGCGTTTAGGGAGGCCCTCCTTATAATATGCCACAGGTGGCACTGGTGCTGCAGGCTAGTCTGAGGAAGAAATGGTGGTGGGGATACCCTGCCAGTGGAGAGCTGCAGGAGTAGGTCTCCCAAGGTGAGAACCCAGGTGCCCCTCAACCCTGGGAGATGCACATCGTGGTAGTGCCAAGTCGGACGCTCCCCCTCACTCTAAAACTTTTGCTGCCAAGGCGGCTGGCTGCCCTTAGCGCCGAGAGCTGCAGTAGCTCTGTCAGCTTGGGAGCCTACATGGGTGCTGCCACCATCTTCACAAGTCCCACTCTGGTCGGTGCTCTACCTCAGGCACCGACTTGGTTCTCCTTTTTTTTTCTTTTTGTGTCACACTCAGTGATTCACAGAGGTTACCCTTGGCTCATGCACTCAGGAATTACTCCTGGCGGTGCTTGGGGGACCATATGGGATGTTGGGGATAGAACCTGCGTCGGTCAGGTGCAAGGCAAACGCCCTACATACTGTGCTATCACTCCAGCCCCTTGGTTCCACTTTTAAAGTCATTCTTTTTGAGAGAAAATACTTAAAGGGCACTTACATTTTTTCTTGCATAACTTTCATGACCCCATCAGCCCTGTTGTTCAGAGAGCTGAGAGCCCTTGCCACTCTGCCAACTCTCTTGCCTGCCGCCGTGCCACTGCCGCCTTCTCTCTCCATATCCCAAAGGACAATTCTAGCTCTCAGAAACAATGGTGTCACCCAGACCTTGATAGAGCAATCCCTTTACATTACCATATATATCTTTATCCATCTCTATACATTTGTAAATTCAGAAAAAAGCATGAAATGAGAAGTGT